CCCCCCCCCCCCCCTTTCTCCCTCTGCCTCACATGTAAACCGAAACAAAACAAAATACGAAACTAAAAGGTTTAAATCTAATATGGGAGGATTTAGATGATATACAATTGATTCTTTCCTATCTATGTAATAAATGAGAATGATATGAAGTCAATTAAATATATTATCAATTCGGTTAAATACGATAAGGATCCAATTCAATATAAATCAAATTATACACAATTATTTGATTAAATACATTACGAATTTTATTCAATATAAATCGAAATATACATAATTATATATAATATTAATAAGTTTTGACACTACCCATAGACAGTCTAGTCACCCTCGAGCTACTGACTGTTTGAATATAACATTTTCATGTATAAATACTGATTTTCGTTACTTTTACTTTTGATAGTTGGTGTGTAGCATCTTTAGGACAATGAAAGGAGCGGGTGGTTGGTTGATGTGAGTCTCTCTCTGTCTTCCTCTCTCCCAAACAGCTATTTAATCCGAATGGTTCATATCAGTTGATGCGATCCTATGCTTCAACTACTCATATTATATTAGTTCATGCATTTCCACGTACGGATGTATATGAATTTATATATCTACCACTAGTACATGAGTGATTGTGACTGCCATCAGAACTTTGTTAATGAGTTATTTCCCCTCTAAAATTATCGCCCACATTCGAAAAAGGTCAAGCCAAAGTGCTTGTAATCACGGATCACAAGACAACTTTCTCTTTTTTACCGAAAGAAAAAATAGAAAAACTTTCTCTTTCAATGAAAAGTCATAGTATAGGCCTTGTAAATAAACCACTTTTTTGAGTATGTTTCCACAAGCCATGTTTAAACCAACATTTTTAACAGTAAACAAGCATTTATAGCAGGGAAAAAATTGGTGTTACATAATGTCATATATATCATTTCTGCAACGTTAATTATGGGACTTAGAACCTGTAATGTATCGCTTTTGGAAGTTCGTGCACACTACGCCTCATCTCTATTATTACATGTTAAAAAACTAAAAAGAGAAAGGGTACCCCATGCTTGGGTTTTGTTTTTTGATATGTGAAATGATTATGAGAACTATTAAAGGAGGAATCCTAAGCATCATTTTGTCTGCTTTCTGCTTACATTTATAAAACCATATCTGAGTTAATTGCTCATATAAATGTTCCAAGAATCTAAGTTTGCTATGGCTTTTGAAAACAAAAGAGGTCATGAGAAGAGCATCTATATGTATTTTTATGGACTTATATCAATATCTGTTTTCAAAGGGGCCCATTGTGATTAGGAGGATGATTCATGAGCTAATAAGTCATGATGGAGGAGCCAACTTAGAATTGATACCGCAGCTTTGACCACCATTATGGCGTATTGCGATTCCTTACCTGGTCTCCATTGACGGTGCATCCAATCTTCATCTCCTTAATGTAGAGGAATTAGGTAGAATAAGTAGGGTCGTAATTGAATTGAGTTGTATATGAACAAGTAACGATTGACTTGAATTAAAATTTAATGAACTAAGCTCAAGCTACTAGTACACTTAATAACTCGCGAATGCAAATAAATAGAACTGCAAATAAACTGAGTTGTTGATGAACAACTCATGACAATGGCGGAGCCACACTTGGGCCAAGGTGAGCCGGTCCCCTCCCCCGGTGGGGCCATTTATCTTACCCCCATATATTTTTGTGTTTATAAGATCAACTTCAAATCACTCTCTATTTCATTTTTTTTTAGTTATTTTAACTAGCCAAAACAATATTTCAATATATTTTAGTTAGTCATTTTGAAGAATTGGGTTGGAGTTGCTCTAATAAACTCTCATTATATTTTCAAGTAGTGCCCCCATTAATAAACCCATGAGATTTTCAAGTAGTGCCTCTATTAATTTTTTGATCTTTTCTTTGTGACCCCCACATGTTAATGTCTTGAGAAATTTTACAAAGTTTAACCTCAACGACTTCTTATCCACTTATATTGAAGTCAAAAAATACATGAGTTATGTGTTGAATTTTAATGGTCATTCAAATTAGTACTCCTTGTTATGCTTAGGGATTATTTTTGGTTATGTATTATGTCAAAAATATGTTTCTCAATAAAATATATGATAATTTTGTGATAGAATCTTTGATTTTGCATATCAAAAAAGAAAGTCTTGATAATTTTTAACAAAGAGAATCAATATATAATTTTTGGGACATGAAATAATATTAATATTTATTTAGATAGGTGATTGAGTTGAATGACCAACGATACGAGTATTGTGTCATTTCTTTTTGTTTCATAACAAAATGTATAAACATATAATAGTACAATACAATTCAAATTTCAAAAGATAAACAAAATAATTTTTATTTTTCGCAGTTGAGATCTTTTTAAATTTTATTTTAAAGTTAATCCGACGGTTACCATTAACCCCCAAGTTTATTAGGAAATATGGGCCCCTAAGGATGTGTTTGGGGTAATTTTTTAAAGATGTTTTTAGGATTTACAACTTCTCATAAATACGTTAAAAAAAATAATGTTTGAAACTGTCTCACCACCACCACCACCACCACTACCAGTACCAACGTCACCCATCACCATCGTCACCCTACCACCACAACTATTACTATCACCACCGCTACCGCCATCCTACCACCACCACTGCTACCGCCACCTTACAACCACCGTCACTATCCCACCATCACCCCTATCACCACCATTACCATTGCCACCCATGACTGCTACCATCACAATCGTTCATCGTCTCCCACCACTAGCCTCTACTATAATCAGGGTTCGTTTGATAGACTTATTATGAGGGGATTAAATATTAGATTGTAGTATTTTTTTTATTTAATCGGGTCTAATATTTTGTTTGGTAAGTAAATTTAATACCATATTAATTTTAAAAATGTACATTTATCGTATATTTTTTATACGATAGATCTGTATTATTGAGGTTTTTAATACCACCAAAAGAGGTGGTATTATAATCCAATTTAAACGTATTATTCTACACATTTACTGTTATAACCCCTTAAGTGATAAATTCAAGTTGTCATCAATGTAGCAAATACTGATTGAGTATATTTTTGTTAATTCAACATTAATACGATTAAATAATTCTCTAATCAAACAACCAATTTGATTAAATAACTATTATCTAACGCTTATATTGTGTATTGTCAAATACTAAATAAAATTATATATTATTCTAATATCATATTTAATCTTGTCTTTAAGTCATTTGTATTGTATTAGACTGTATTATTTTATTTAATCCATTTATTTTTAATACGGCAACCAAACGAGCCCTCAATATTTAAATTCATTTATCTCTCATCTATCTTTGTAATTTGATTTTGAGTGTGAATACAAATATGTTTATTGTTAACCTTTTTCTTATTACTTCGTGTCTTTAAGCACGATAAATAACTAGTATATATATCAATTATTTTTTATTCAAATATATATTAATTTATATAAAAAAAAATTTATTCTTATTTACGTCCACCCTAGATAAAAATCGTGACTCTGCCTCTACTCATGGTCGATTTGAATTTTCGTTTGTTTAAGTTTGCATATTTACTAAATGAACCAAGTTCTACCTGAATTTTCAAGTATCCATTTAAAAAAATGAGTCGTCTAGACTCGTGAACACACGTGATATCACGTAATGTTTTATTTTTTTTGTAAATTTAGTAAGACAATGATGTAGTTTTAATACTTAAGAATTAACGTGTTTGGATTAGGAAAAGACAAATGGTTTTCGACTGAGGTTGAGTTTCATATTCCATACAAAAGAGAAAAAAAAAAAAAAACACAAGTGTTGTGGTGGTGACGGTGCCAAGAAATATATGACTTGGTGGACTTCAAATTCAAATATGTTAAAGGTATGATTCAATGATGCCCATTATGTTTGTTGTTAATATTTTAGAATTGGTCTTAATTTTTTGAATTTGATTAAATTTTAATTTTAATCGGCAAAGTTTTAACTACACTCGATTGATTTGTAACTATTTAAATTTTTTTTGAACTTTTCGCACTTTGCATCCTGAAAATTTTCAAGATTCTCATTTTGTATTTTAAGATTAAATTTTTTATACTGTACTTTTAATATATCAAAAGTTTTAATATTTGAGGATACAAAGTAAAAATCATAAAATCTTTTAAAGTATAAGTGCAAAAAAAAAAAAAAAAATACATCAAGGCCTATATTTAAGGGTTTTGTATTATTGATTTTTTTTACTCAAGGCTTTCGAGGGAGTGCTTATAGTGCCCCCATTG